AGCAGACAGCTGGTATCCTCCTATCGCGCCATACTCTCTACCAGCAGTCTGCTACCCTCCTATCTCCCCATACTCTACCAGCTGTCTGCTACCCTCCTATCGCGCCATACTCTCCTCTCCGGACGCTGGTAGACGCTAGTGCACGCTGGCAGACAATGGATCGATATTTATGTTTCCCTGGCCCTCGAGACGCTCAGATGCTACAGGACGCTGGCAGACGCTAGACTTTCCTAATGTCTGGACGCTCTTGCTCGCTGGTGGACGCTGCCGCAAAACGCAGCTTGAAAGAGCATCAGGCTATAAATTTAGTGAACAGACTTACATCTTCTATTGAAACTCGGAATTTGGCTGCTAGTTCGCCGAATGAGGCACCAGTGTCGAAATGAGTGACAATGAGGCCTTTTTGACGAGCGGTCAGAGGAATATTCGATCTGGAAAGCGGAGCAGTACAGTGGTGCCTCACTTAAAACACCTTCACGCAAAAGCAAACCGTGGAGTAGGGAGTGGAGGTTCTTGTGGACGTGGTTCAGACTGGTCGAAAGGCTTTCTATCTTCAAAGATTGGTAGTGACTCTGAGACCGCTGGTGACGGAGCGCTGGGCTGGAAATAGTAATCTTGTAACATTAACAACATCCAGTGAAACGAATCACATAGGAAAATCTTATTAGGGAAAATGCTTAGACTGACAGAAGAGGTGTTGACTCAAAGAAGAGCTCGAAGAGAAGAAAGAAGACTGGAGCACCTCGCTAGGCTAGCCACGTCACTTTTGCATAATCATGTAAATTTTCGAGAAAGAACGTGGATCGTTTGCGACGGATCGTGAAAGTAACCAGTTTGCTCGATAGATACATATCTTCTGATACAGTTTTCTCTCGCATTATGCTGACAGGCTCGGGTCAGTCGTAACGACAGGTGGTGAGAAGACACTTTTAGATCTCAGTTGGATGAGCTACGATCAGTAAGACTCCTTGCGAAGAGTTGAAGACTTCACTTTCTTTCTGGAGGGAAAACCAGACAGCCTGAGATGGATGGGAAAGGATGTATCTTTCGGCGTTGATCAATCCCTTTTTGGGAAAAAATATACTCTAGTTCATTGCGGATGGCTGGGCGTGTCAGGCAGTATGAGTGTGCACGCCGTCACACTTTCTCTGCCTTCTTATCAGCGCTCATGCGACAACCAGTGGTAGAAAACGAGTAATACGAAAGGATGTGATACAGTCTCATTACTTGCTCGTTTTAAGGTGAGAACGGGTTTGGCACCGCGCCAAACTCATCCCGCCACACGCCCAACCGTCCGCAGCGAGCTCTACTATAAGTAAGTTTTCTCATCTGCTGAGACGAGTCTGGCATCAACTTATCTGCACCGGCAGACGGAATACTTGATTAGCACGGGTATGTGACAAGAGAATCGTAATTCACCGCGCTGGTGGGCGTCGCGTGCGACGTCGCACCGCAAATGACGATGGTTCCAGGTAGTAGATGGCGACAACAGGCAATTCAGAACCGAAAATAGTCATGAATGTCTACGATGACGGGGTCTACATGAAGTCCGGTGCTCTAATCGACAGGTTAACACGAGTTAAGAAAACGCCGCGCCCATCGCCGCGCGCGGCGGAGCGGCAAATTACGATTCTCTTGCCCGTCTCCCGATTCGCGACGGGCAGAGAGCGATCCCGGATTCGGTTCCCGACTATGCGTATAGTAGGTGTCGTCACTTACCACGACACCCTACCCTGTGAGATTGGTGGCCGTGCGAAACTTCCATCAAATCTGCTCACTTACTAGTTCTATGAGCAGACAAATACTGAATTCAGATGACAAAGCTCTTATTGGGGAAAATGGCGCAGATGTGAGCATGGAATGCGAAAGGCCTTTCCAACTGCACCCCATTTGTCACCTGAGTGGAAACTGCCTGCTTGTGAAACTTAGCCTTGCCCGCTGCGGTCCCAGTGCATTTGCGTACTTGACACAACGTTTCGCTCGCTCTCTACCTTATACAGAAGAAGATGACAGTTGTCCCAGAAGGTGGAATAAACCAGTTCCGTGCCATGTTCAAATGCCACGCCTACTCGGGCTCAGGGATAAGCAGTGTAGAAGTAATCTGACCCCAGTCTTCAAGGTTATCCCGCTTTCGCGGCTCCTCAGTAAGTAACGAGAAACTGCCATCGTCGTCGAAGAGTGACAGTTCTGTACGCCTTCCCCAGTGGTCAAACCTCATCGAAACACAATGGCAACTTCACCTGTCCCGAGTTCTGTTTCTTAGTCAGATTTCTCGTTTTTTTTTTCACTTTTCTAGGATATGTATTAGCACTTGGGATGAACGCAAGAAACGATTAGTGAGCTCAATAGCGCGGCAAGATACCTTCATGCTGAGGCGTTAAACAGCAGGCTCTGCGAAAAATCGCTAGCAGAGAAAAACTGACAGTCTCACTTACCAGAGAGCGTCCTTTCATTGTTTTTTTTCTTCCACTGAGGCGTACACTAGCGACTATGCGTTTTGTGTGTCCAAACGCCATTACCCACAGAAAAGCAATCGCGGCGGTTAGGGGGGGGGTGTCTTTGAAATTGTCAAAGCCACAAGATACCGCCGAGAGCGCCAGTCCCGTCGCTACAGTTCAAATGCAAGTACCCAGCCACCCATCCCCGTGTCCGCGAATATAGGATGCGGTATATGTGCAACCAAAATAACTGAATGTAATCGACCAAAATGATATTATAAGTGGATTGAAAGCTGATATTTCAACAACACCACTTTAATATACCCTATCAAAAAAGGATAAATGTTGAGCATGAGAGAATGATTCAAACGATTTTCTAACCTTGCATGGGTCAAATATCTCATTAGGACCATGACTGCTATTCAGAGCCCTGAAAATAAAGATTCACACGAATTTCCTGAGCGATTAGAGCAGCATTTTTCTCAGAGACATCGATCTCTTCAGAAATAAACTCACAATGCAAAATATTGCAACTTATGGCACACAATAGGAGGCAGCTCACCAGAAACCGAAATTGGCTCACAATCTGAAAAAGGATCTGCATTAGCATAATATGTGATGGAGAAGATGAGGGGTAGATCTTTTGTATTAGGAAGAGTCCATACTTTGCGGCAACGCCCACCAGCGTCTACCAGTGTCCACCAGCGACCACTAGCGAGCGTCAGTGTCAGCGGCTAAGAAAGCATAGATATGCGACTCTGCCAGACGCTGCAATGCTGTGCTGCGCATCGTAGGTAGATGACTAAATCGAGTGTTCTATACTTTCTTAGCCTTCTGCGCTACCGCAACCCGTGAAACTGCTGGTCGGACGCTGCCGCAAATCTGTAATGCCAGGCATTATGGAAAAAGTCATGCTGTCAGGCCAACCTGTTTTCACTTTTGCGTTAGGATTCAAGGGATTCACGCCACAGTTGCAGAGTAAGTGTTCGGCTATCGCATGAAGAACCAGTAAAACACTTGTAGTGAAGATCTCTGCAGAAGAGCATTATCAGAAAGGATTGGAATGATCATCATAAGTCTTCCACCATTGCGAAAATGATGTTGAAGAAGCATCGCGCAATAAACTACCAACTTACGGTACTTATTTCGCCACAGCTGATATGGATTCATTGATGGCCAACCCCGTTTTTTTGCGAGGAGTATATCATTGAAAGTAAAATTCTTCACTTCGCCGTTAATCTCCAACCGAATGGGAGCTTCCAGAGAAACTGCGAGAGCTTCTTTATGGCACTCATACGTCTCTAGATAAAAAATACCCCTAATGTGTCGGTTCCATCCGTGAGCCCAGCAATGGATTCAAATTTGCTTAACCCACTGTCCATTTGCACGCTATATTCACTCCATCGTATCTAGTAGCTCCACGATATCCTTTGGGAAAACACGAGTGGCAAGTACTCCAAAAACGGTGGCAACGGTATAGACGCTCCGGTGTTCCATTGCCTTCACGTCCATACCTGTTAGCCTCTAAAGTGTACGTCATTCTAAGGGATGCATATAGGATCAAAACTTCGCTTTTAGCCGTGTGCACCTCGCCATGTCTTCACTGACCAAGAGCGATGAGCAGGTGTGCCCGTGCCTCGTCTAAAGATTCCATACAGCGCCGCTTACTCGCCACTCTAGTGTTAGGCCGAATTCCCATCAGCATCGGGCTATTATCTCATCTCGAGAAGAATTTTTTATGCTTTTTTCTCTTCTGGAGGTGAGACAGAACTACCATTCTTGATAGTCGACCAAAGGTGTCTATCTATCGCCCCCTCCCTTCATTCGCTTGACGTTAAAACTCTGGGATAATGTGATAACATGGTACGTAAGTTACCAGAGATGATTGTAAAGGGACTTAAGCAATTTAAAAATGAGCTCGGTGCCGAAATTTTTGGAGTCCAAACGGCATTAGCCGAAATTTGGGGTTCAAACCGACACCGCCAATTCACACCCACCCATTATGTACTCTGCCATGAATGACAGACAACTCAGAGAGAAAATGTAAACTACCTTCTGCAGCCCATCCACTTCCCCAAGAGGTGGCGAATCGTTTGGCTCACTCTAAAAAGTCAAAGATCATACAAATCTCAAAAATACTGGTTAAGCTTCAAAGGATGTAAATAAGCAGTTAAAGTCAACGAACTAGTTCAGCTCATCGCCAAGATTCTTTTTTCAAACTAAACCATCCGCTCACTAAGGCTGCTTTCATACTTTGCGGCAGCGTCCACCAGCGACCAGTAGCGTCTACCAGCTTTTGAGCGTTCGGTAGCTTTAGCGACTGGGAAAGTGTACATATCAGTCTAGCGTTTGTCAGCGCCTACCAACGTCTGCCAGCGACAAGCAGTGTCTGGGGGTGGAGAGATGTGCGATAGGAGGGTAGCAGACTATTGGTACCCTCCTGTCGCCCCATACTCTCTACCAGCAGTCTGCTGCTGGTCGCTGGTAGACGCTGGCAGACGCTAGAATAATATCTATCATTTCCGAGTCGCTGATGCTGCCGGAAGCTTGAAACGTTGGTTGGCAGTGGTCTCTGGGGACGCTGCCACAAAGTATGAACACATCCTTGTACTGAGAAACATGCCAAGATTCATGGATGGTCCCACATGGACATTGTGCAATAAGTCAAAAGTGCTATCGCAATAAAAATCAAATCACGAAAGGCTCATAATTGGCTGGCACACGAATAAACATATTTTCCAACATCTTCCCATAATTTCGCTGTTCATGGTTCGCATATAGTAACTAATTACCTTTACTGACGAGTTGACGTCGAAGTCAGGTTTGTTCCCCTCAACTGTTTGTGGTGTTATTGTCCTGTCCACCGAATTCGGTAAAGCCGGCAAAGTTCCATTCCCGTCCGTGGAGGCAGATAATACACTCAAAGCATCACGAACGGTAAATTGAGGATTGATAAATGCCGGATTGGAGTCCTTGTGGTTTTCGTCAACCACATCGTTTGCGAATAGAGAATATAAAACAGCTAAAAATAAAAGATTCAATGCGTATATGATCGCTTGAACGACTAAGGTCTCAACCTAATATATTTGAACCATTTCAGATATATACTAAAAATAATTACTTACAAGTATCGATCGCGGGATCCAACTCAAAGGGAATCCTCTTTTTAGGCAATCTAACTTTATAGTTGCGAAATCCTTTCGCCAACGCCTCCTTAAACAAAAATGCTAAACTCTCTTTATTCAAAAGTTTTATTGAATGACAGATCAAATAGTTGTGTTTCGATAGCAGCTTGTCACTGGTCTTTCCATCCAATGCTTGGTGGGCGCGACATAACGGGTGTTATCTTTTTCAGTAGAGAATCCACTGTAAAAAAATGCCGGCGGCACTACACTCACTGACCGTACAGGTAAGTTGTTAGGCTGCGTTCATACTTTGCGGCAGCCTTCACCAGCGACCTGCGTCCACCGGCGTCTACCAGGGTCCTCCAGCGTCTGCGAGCGTCTCGCGGGCTAGGAAAGTATAGGTATCGAGACGCCGGTAGACGCTTGCGAACGCTGGCAGACGCTAGACCTACATTTCCCTAGCCCTCAAGACGCTGGCGGAAGCTGAAAACCCTGGTGGACGCTGGCAGACGCTAGATCGATATCTACACTTTCCCTAGTCGCTGACGCTGCCGGACGCTCGGAACGCTGGTGGACGCTATTGGTCGCTGGTGGATACTGCCGTAAAGAACACACGCAGCCTTAGGGGGATCGCCCACGAAACCCAACTTCTCCCATTATTCGATAATTCATCTCTAATTCGCGAAAACAACGGGTATAGCAAGGAAAATATGCAGATTTGCATCAAGGCTCATTGTCAATTGATAGAGAGAATAACAGCAAGCAAGTAAAAAAGAGAACAGAGCTACCTTGACAGACATCTCCTTGTCCGACTGCTCAATAATCTGCTTCATTGGGTCTTCTGTCTCGGTTTCCATGGGCACATTGTTCTGGAAGTTGTCAAGAACATATAGAAAAACTAGTCACGGCATAGATCTAGTGAATGTCTATTAGAGCGTATTCTAACGCCTAAAGCGAGAGTAGAGCAGGTCTCCCGATGGGTCAGGTCTCTTTCAAGCCGCAGAGTTACTGTGATCCTTAGAGTAAGAGGATAAAGGCGGTAGGCATCCCACTCACGGCACATCGTTGTTGGGGATTCCCCGACAGGGTGTCGTATTTGGGCTGAGAAATTTTTTTGATAGTTGACCCCTTGTTTCGGGGACGTTGTAAAGGGGGTCGTATTCGTTCGTTGTTGGGAAGGGGGGGGTCGTATTTTCCCTCTGACCCTCTGAGAGGGGTTGCTGCCTTTTTGTTTTTTCTTCCTATTTCATTG